GAGGCCCCGGATTGACCCCAGTAAAGGCCGACACCCGTTTACCCCGAGGAGCACCCTCGCACCGCGCCCGGAGCAACGAGAGAGGAGGATGGAGGTGGGAGAGGCAGGCGCGCTCGTCTTGCGCCGGCGGCCGCCGCTGGAGCGTGCCCGTGTCGGGGCACCGTGCCGCCACCGCGTCGGGGCCCGCCCATGCCAGGGCTGCCGCGCCAGGGGGGCCGTGCCGAGCCACCACGCCGGGGCCTTCCTCGCTGGGGGCCTACCACGCCGCCGTCGGAACGCGCGCGACGGGGCCCGCCCTAGCCAAGAGAGAGGGAGAGGGAGAGGGAGGACTGGAGAAGAGGCGGGCACGAGAGAGAGGAGTGTGTGCTATGAATTGGAAGCCGGATATATATTTGGTGTTGAGTAGAAGCGGAAGCAACAGAAGCTATAAGAAGATGCTCTGGACAGAAGCGGAGTCAAGCAACATCTACCGTAGGATTAAAGATCGAATGGCCAGATTTAGTCGGAGTGACATGTACGCTCTCGTTGAGGTTGAGCTCCTGTGGTCCTCTTGTTTTTAAGGGGGTATTTGGATTCGGTGACTAAAATTTAGGAGGTGTTACGTGAGGGTGTCGCATGAGGTGTTCGGATACTAATAAAAAATAAATTACAGAATCCGTCGGTACTCCACGAGAAGAATTTATTAAGCATAATTAATCCGTCATTAGCACATGTTTATATTAGCACCACATTATCAAATCATGGACTAATTAGGTTTAAAAGATTCGTCTCACAAATTAGTCGCAAACTATGCAATTAGTTTTATAATTAGTTTATATTTAATACTCTATACATGTGTCTGAACATCTGATGAGATGAGAACCAAACACTCTCTGAGTTGAGCTGATCGAGTTCGGTTGGGCAGAAGGATAAACTGTGGGTTGGGGCTTCAGCAATCAGCAGCCCAAACTGTGGACCACGTACGTACATGTGGTGGACCAAGCGAAAGGGTCAGCGACTAGAACGAGTGAAGTTGCTTTGCAGTAGTTGGTGAGGACAGGCGCGCCTTTCTCGGGTCGTTCCTGCAACGCCTAGAACACACACGCGGACCGGAACGTAAATTCCGGATGCGCACGCCGTCGACTTCCTGTATCGGTGGCACGCCGGACCAGCACGTAAATTCCGCGCGCGCATGTGGTGCGTGGCGGTGGCGGTGGCCGCCGCCCGGCGACCGCTGGGGCTGCGTCGGCCGTCCGGTGACCGGTGCCGACTGCCGAGCAGCAGCAAGTCCAGCAGCGCGAGGCCACCGTCACCGCGGGGACAAAGACGAGAGGCAGCATGCGGACGGACGGAGGGCCGGCGTGCCGGGTCTCGTCGTGTGGAGACAGGGGCGGCCGTGCATTGCAATGCAGCTGGTGGACCTGGGGCACGGCACGGGCACCGGCGCACACCACGCACAACAGCTGCGCCTGCGTCCACGCCTCCACGGTCCACACACATGCGCGCGAGCGTGATCCATGGACCGCGTGGGGCTCGTGCGCTAGCGCCGGCGAAAGCGCCACGCCATCTGACGGGCCACCGGCTCAGGGCCCGGAAACACGCGCGCCACGGCTGAGCCTGAGGTGGAAGTGGGACCGAGACGAGGTGGTTGCGTGACGTGTGCGTACAACTGTGATGAAGCGCCGAGCGAGCAACAAGTCTGAACCCGTCAGTGTCAGCAGCTAGTAGAAAATCATGTGACGTTGGATGACCTTGTGGCCAAATGCCAAGGAGATGACGCTACTGCTACGCACGCCTGATGGTACAAAGAACGAGACAAGATTCGAGCCCCCCTGACCTTACTGTTGTCGAGCGAGTTCGTTTGGCGTGCATCTCTGGCGCCGGCAAATCTTGTCTCGCGTCTGAACTCTGAACGAACAAGAATAACGCGGTGAGGAACTCGCGCTGGTAACCGAGCACGAGCAGACAACGGCTAGACGACGACGACGACGGCGCTGCGTGCATGAGCAGGAGGAGGAGGAGGCTGCTGGGGTGCTGGCTGCTGCCGTCCTCTGGTCGAGGCGTCGAGCGCAGTCTTGTTTACGCGAGGACGAGGTGGCAGGGCAGCAGCAGGGCAGCAGTGGGACGTCGAGCCGTCGATGCGGAGTGGGCCGGGGTGTTTGATCCATGCCCAAAAGTTGTAGATGTCATGTCAGATATTTATGTACTAATTATAAACACTAAACATAAGTCAATTCGTCTCGTAAATTATTTTTAATTTGTCTAATTAGTTTTATAACCAATGTACATTTAATACTTGATGTTTAAATATTCAAGATGACGGGGATTAAATTTTAGTAGGTGCAATCAAACGCCCCGGGCCGGTGGGAGCCGTGCGGTTAGTTAGAAAAAGATGGCCCTTTTTCCCCCGCTGCCCATGCTGCCGGACGCCCGTATGGCCGTGTGCCAATGCAACAGTGGGGTGGGGCGGGGGCGTAGGGTGTTTGTCTCCGCTCGCTTGCACTCTAGGCAAAGCAGGAGATTCCTGCATGAAAATGCAACCTGCGACTAAAATATGCTACTGCCTATCGCCTGCTCAACTAGAGCTGGAGGACGAATCGTTTGTGCCGACATTAAAATCATTCGGTTTCATAGTGCTGCTAAGTTGAGCCTTTCACAAAAAAAAAAAGTGCTACTAACTAGACTTTTTTCAGTAAACGATCGAAAATTTCTCGAAAATGAATAATGTTTTTGTTTCCACAGTGAAACCACTGCACACCTAGGCTAATTCTCGATGGATACTTGGTCTCCCAACAGCCCCTAGACTTTTTTTCAGTAAAGTTGAAGAAATTTCTCGAAAATGAAAGGATCAAGGTTGCTGTAGCCTGTAGTGATTGTACTGCACCTAGGCTTGCAATTCTCATGGTACTCTTCCATGGCCCCTACAGGTATCAGCATTCAGCACAAACAGCACTGCTCCTTGGTCCTACCTTTTGGCCACAGGTACCGGGCACGAGTAGTGCTACAGTACTACGAATCCAAGTTTTCCACGGTGACGTTGGTCATGGTCTGGACTCTCGAGTTAGTACGGAGGAGTACTAACGGCCAGTGAGCGGTGGGGGAAAAACACACGGTACGTTGCCGTGCAGTGCTCGCTGGGCAAACCGCGAAGAGAGCAAGCAACTTCGAAGCAAAAATCGCTCGTATGTATTAGGACAAGTATAAGTTCTCTATATACTAGAATCCATGCTTTTAGTTCCATATGTATTTTTCATATACTATTTCATAATTAGGACAAATTCAGTACATACAACATAACTTGTGTCGAATAACTTATCTAATTTTTGTTTTCTTGTGTATGCTATATAACTTAGTTGATTAATTTACGGTACAGAGTTATGTATCTAACTTGTGTTTTCATGTGTATGCTACCTAAGTTATTTGATTAACTTGCTATACTTAGTTTCATATTTATCACACTATGTTAGATAATCATCTTAGTTTTGCTATTAACTTATGTGTTTCTTGTTGTCTACTTTATTATTTTTATTTATTATTTTAAATATTTAATATTTTGCAGATCTTAGTGAAGACACAGAGATGCTGAATATCGTAGTTACAGAGATGCTGATTAGCTGCTGATAAGTTATGAAAGTTTATTATGGAACTTGTTATGTAAGTCATCATCTTATGGAATTTGTTGAGTAGTTAGGGTGTAAAAGTTGCTTTTTATTTTGCTCCCCCGCCCTTTTTAAATCATTTTCTATGTTTCCGAATGATTAGTTTCTGAAACGAAAAAAATGCCCGATGAACTCTAAAGAGAATGTTATTTTTGCGGCTATTCTCAAAATTTAAATTACACGTAGGTCTCAAGTCGCAAAAAAAGAAAAAGTAATATTGTATAACTTAGTATGCTTAACTTATTCCTTAAAGTTACGTTGTGTAACTCAGTTAGTGTAAGTTATGCGCGCGCTTTTCATAAAGAAAGAAAATGTTACCGGTGAATGTTTCAAGAAAATGTTACGCGCTTTTCAAAAAAAATGTGGCGCTGTTCGTGGAGCGTGCAAAAAGGGAAGGAAAGGCGCGCGTCCGTCCTCCCGAAAAGTGAAAGAGTCTACATGCACCAGGCTATCAAAAAAAGAAATAAGCGGGAGTGAATCACTTGCCGAAAAAGGAAAGCCTGCAATGGTCGAATCGTTCGCTGATCTACAGACGGATGAACGTTCGTTGATCAGTGGTGTCGTAGCTCTGCCGCCATTTCTCTGACATGTTCAGGGTCATTTTGAGACAGGATAGCTTCATTATGATTTTAAGCTGAGATGGTCATGTTCTGTGTTTAGTTGAGAGGGATATGTCCATCTTATTTTTTTTTCTCTTTAGTTGGGGTGATCGGAGTAAGGACATGCATAGAATTTTTCAGGCCGTTAGACATTACTAGCCATGGGCCCACTTGTCATCCTCCCTATAGGCATATATATAAATTTGAACTGCAAGCATCCTCTCATATATCTTCAGAAACTTGCAAATTCCTCTCATATCTTCAGAAACTTGCAAATTGATCGAAGTATCACCGAACTAGATAGGAATGTGACATTTGAAATCTGGTGCTCGTTACTTATTACTTAACAAATTCTTATGAAATGTTGCAAAGTTGTTTTTAGGATATCCTTTATATTTGTACAACATAGGCCCTGTGACCACAGAATGTACACTGCACAAGTTCTGATGGTTCCGGGGCAAATATTTCTCTTTTGTTTCTTTCTTTATCTTCAAACAACACACAGTGACCTGTCCGCAGTCAGCACTATATATTACGTGTTTTTACAACTATATACATCAGCCAAACTGCCAGAATGTATAGAGAAATTACAGGAAAAAAAGTTTACACGCTACACGGTCCACCCATTCTTTTCGAAGTTAGCTTAACATGTTAGATGTAGTTCATGTGGACAGGTCCACCTGCCCTTCTGTGTATAACATCACAATTCATTGTCATGTGATGGCGGTTGTCACTCTAAATCAGGAGGCACAACCTGAAATAATTATTGATCACCAGGCACTGCATCCGCTGCCATGTTGTCTTGTTGGGCGAGATTACTGTTCTCATGGTCAGGAGACCTAACTTTGAGCATATACCCCTGTGCAAAGTCTAACATTTCCTTGACTTCTTTCTTCAACTGCACGATTTCATAACAAAATGAAGTGAACTCTGAGAATAAAGGGTTTTCTGTACTTTCTAGAAGTTATGGCATGCGGAAATTAAAGAAGAACAGAGTATTCTGTAAACTCATATTTTGCACTCTCCTGAAATACTTCTGTTGCTGCAACACTATGTATGCTCATGTGTACTACTCCTACAACTTGCAAACCAGCAAAAGCTACATAGAATATTTCGAGGATAAACATGCTTGCTCATGCTGTCCTAGCTGACAATCTCATCAACGAAGCTGTACATGAATTTTAAGTGAATAGCTGACAATCTCATGCACTGGAGCTATGATAAGAAGGTAGATCATTCTTTTTACACCTGTATCTGTACGTGATCATGCCTAGTTAGAATGTACTAGAACTCCACAAATTAGCACAAGCTATATGAATTGTACGTGTTAAAGTTTGAAGACAATTGGATTAAATTCACAACAAAATATCATACATACAAAAGCTCAGTAAATACAAATGCATACCTCATCCACAGCACCACTCTTTATCTTAGACTGCATTATGCACCATTTCTTGAAATGTGCACCTGAAAATACAGCATGGCGATTGTATTCATAAAATCATTAAATTTCATTGCACCTTAAGTAGAGAAAAGCTGACACAGAAAAGAAATAGGAGAGCACATGAGCTAGACAAAGGGGTCAGAAGAAATCACCGACCAGCACTTATGTTGAGACTGCACGAGCTAGAACTGATAGTTTTCACAGACCACCTACAATGCACCTGAAAGGTAACATAGCAGAATCACTACACTATTGGAAGATAACTGTTATTGTAGGATTTGTAGCACTGAAAAATGCTCTCAGATCTACAAAAATGAAAGAGAGGGCAGGAAACTGTAACCAATATTTTCCATAAGTACCTCAAAGAAGGAACCAAATGGAACATCATGCACTTGCTGTACTGTCTCAAATACCTACAAATAATGGCGAGAGATCAATATTACTTATGACATCAAGCAAACTACCAAGAACTATTATCTACCATAACGGAACATTCTGTTGTATGGTAGAAACATACCAGATCCATTTTGTCAGCTGAAAGAGCTATATGCTGCCACTCTGTCATCGCTGAATAAGGAGGGCACATTGGACTATGGCATATTGATTTACAATTAAGTTCCCTCACCTGGCCATCATACTCATCTGCGATGTGCCATTGGCCCAGCTGCAGAAAAGCAACATTTTAGCGCAGAATATGAAGTAAAAGAAAACCAAAGGCATTCAGCTTGCTGATCACATGGAAGTTTTTTTTTTTTTTTTTTTTTTTTTTTTTAAGAGGTGGAAGGTTAACCCACAATAAAAATATGCCTGGAGGATGATCAGTACATATGCTAAGTAAGAGGTGGAAGGTTAACCCACAATAAAAATATGCCTGGAGGATGATCAGTACATATGCTTCCTTTGGATAAATCCATTTGGAGTGCATATGGCATAGGCCAGCCTAATGGAGAGAAATTTAATTTTGAAATTCAATAGGAGGGTGGCTACCAATAGGTGGTATGTACTGATTCTTCCCTAGTTGCCAGGCCCATACACCATTCAGGATGGCGACATATATATATTTTTTTACAACAGGATGGTGACGTATTGTAGGTTCAGTGGAGCCATACATGCCACCTTGACAACAGACTAAAATATCTTAACTCAAAGTTTGTAAATAAACTATCTTCATAAGACGAGACCACCCAAAGCTTGATATCCACTAGGAAGTAGGAACCCAAATTACTGATCCCGAGAATGCTACCTGAATTATTCATAAATCATAGAAGACAACCTTTTTAGAATACATAACACATAGACAACGGCAGAATGGGGCTGGGGTTATAAAGCTGATAGATCTATAGTAATTGGCAGCTCCACATTGTGTCCTAGCAGCACTAAAATCACTAGTATTGAAAGATGTCCTAAACATGAAAATTTGAATTTTTCAATGACAACCTGAAAACCTGAAAATTTCAATGACAAAATCACCAGTACTAAAATACAAAATTATTAAAAGAGGCACAGGATGGACATCTTTTGCTCAGTTGGATATTAATTTGAAAAAAAAGTATGATCAATGATCACCTACTCTATTTGACATATTATGATAATGTACCGATTTCTATCAAACAACTTTGTGGAAATTCTCTAATACAAAAGAATACAAGGATTGAGAATAAGTTGGTCATATAGAATGTACTATATGTGCAAAAGGCTGGCAATGTGCTGGATGCTTACATTTATATCTTTATCCTTCCGATCTGTTCGATACTCTGTTATGTAATTCGAATCATCACTTAAAAGAATACTAAAGAACTGCTCTGCAGTACATGGAAAAGTTCCCTGAAATCATGAACAGTTAAGGATCAGTTACCAATTACAAAGCTAGACCATTAAAGAAAATCGTGAGGCTAAATAATGTTAGTCATTATTACATTGAATACAGGGACCAAAACTTCTTCTTTAACAAAAGGTTGTAACTGCCCTGTTAATGCAGCACAATCTTCTGGGACATTTATCTCCTGCTTGCTAGTTTTTCTTGAACTACTGTGTGCACGTAATGCAGACTGAGCACGTTCCTGGAATCCAAATGTTAAAAAGGCTATCAAATCTGAGGAATGTTTGTGGAGATAAAACTTATATCACAAACAGCAAAATCAACAAAGACACCTTCAAAACTAGTGCGCGACAGTAAGGCTGCAGATATGCAGACGCACTCTAAGGCTATAATTTAAAAGCAAGGATCTAGTGTATCACACACATATGCTGTACCTGTTTCTCAGCCTCTATCATCATTTGGAAGTTCTTCACAGCTCGCTGCAATGCTCTAAATGTATGGTTTCTGTTCCAAAATGATGCAAATTTGTACCTGACTCTTCCTACACAAAAAAAAGGGAAACATGATATGTAGCAACCACGACACTGTCTTATCTAATTGCTGTTAGCAGTCCTTTTTGCAGTCTACATAAACTGTATGGTATGATTTTTATGCTATAGAGAGCATGCACGACTTGTAGGGCCAGGAAATGGGGTTTATCAGCTTATTAAGAATTGCATAATGATTTTGATCACTATGGGGTTGTTTACATCTGAGTTCACAGACATAGGTGCATCTTTGATAAGTCAACCCACCCCCAAAAGAATAGATAAAAGAATGCTTGTAGAAGATAAGTCTGCTAAAAGAGAGATCACCCATTAAATTCCTGTGGCTCCTTCCCAACCCGATTCAGAGTAATAATTCTGTTTCACGATTGTTTTCACTTTTCACACATCCATTTGGTCCTGTAGGCCCTGTATTTTTTTGCTCTTCTTTTTGATAATGTAGACCTTTGGTACTTATTACTTGTATCAATGTTTTGTGTATAGTGGATCAGGAAAAAAAAAAGACATGCAGGGGTCCATTGATTTAAGAACCACTCATATGTTAAGAAGATTTTACCATCTGGACATCCTAATGGAGGAACACCAAATCCTCCAGCTCCCATTCGAAGAAATATTGTAATAGCTGGATTAATAACTGCATGCTGACTTCTCCTTATCTGCAGTGTTTGTAACCCAAGAAACAGATGGCACATTAAATGTGTGCATTACGAAAATTATCTGACATAGTAGAACAGGAGCGAAATATGAATTACCTCGTCAATATCTCTCAAAGGAATCACAACCTTTATATAGAGAAGAAAAGTTGTTTTAGTCACACAAATGAAATTAAGAAAATAAATTTATGTACAAACAAGTTATTATATATATATGAATATCCTTTACAGGAGAAAAAAAAAGCAACGTCCATAAGCTTCATCAAACAAAATCAGGAAGAGAACTGGTGCATGGAAAGTAATTTGCCAGAAAACTGGATGCCACGGTAACAATAACACAAAATATAGAAATGATGGAAAAATTCCTAAGATGCAAGCAATAGTTTCTCAAACGATAGCTAACACATATGGTAAACAACCATTTCATTCATGAATGATGGAAATATTAGAATAGTGTGAGGCATTTAGGCAGTATGTACAATTTTCAATGGGCTATTTGAAAACATAGCCTATTTAGTTTTGGTTTCTGTAGAATCTCAATCAAGAGGACTAGGTCAAATAATTTTTAACTACAACACCATTGAATAACAAAGAGTAAAGGGATATCACTTGAAAAATCCATTAAAAAAAAGATGGAACGTGTATTGCTCCCCACAAACTGACATGTTAGTGTTTCCCAATTATTATGCTATGCTGTTGACTGAGAGCTAACACAAGTTTCTGATTTAATTTGAAAAAAAGGTGGGCCCTAGTAATGTTGCGGCTCTTCAACAGAAACTACAAACAGTTATTAGAATCTGCCATAATCTCATGATCATCAAAGTGTCTGTTTGATGGAATATGCAGTTCAGATCAGCATGACGTTAAAAACTTGACTACTTTATCATAAAGACACGAACAAGTAAGCTCCAAACAAAGGATCTACAGTAAACATATTTAATCAAAGGATAACAATTGAGAAGTTGATGTGAGCTAACCTTGATTTGCTTTGAAAAGACGTTTGAATGAAAGCAAATATGCCATGAAGAGACATACATGCGTCCATGATACAGAAATGACCTCTCAAGTGCGCATGAATAACTGTGGTCAACAACCTGAAAGGAATAAGAAGGAAACAACAACTCTTGCAAGTTGGAACCATTGGTATTAGATACATGCATGAATGAGTGAAGTTGTAGTAGTTACCCACCTCATCTGGAGGTAGTTCAAAAATTGTCTGCAAAGGACCTGGCTTTTGATGAACTACAGTAGGACCTTGCTTATCCAAGGAAATCCTTCTACGAGCGCCCGCCTCAGCTGAGCTATTTAGAGCCCTAAAGCAGAGAAGTGATACATCAGAAACATTGAAGCCTCACCTTGATTTTAACGAGAGACTTAAAATTTTGAATTTGGGCCACATAAAGTACAAAGTGAGGGACAGCATATTTTACATGATTAACCTGGATATAAATTCCTACTATAGTTTCACTTCTGATGTTCACAAAGTCAAAGCAAAATAATGAAGCAAGTAACTAAAACATACATGCCAAAACTGTTCAAACCTGCTAATTGGACAAACAGAATAAAACATTCATGCTTTTCGGTGGAAAAAAAAAATATGACAGGAACAAAGGAAATCTAAGGATTTAATAATTAAATTAAATAAATAGAGTGAGATTTTAACCTGGAGGAACTTTCATAAACCTTGATTACTTTAATATGAAGACACACCTGACAATACAAAAAAAAGTATAATACCAAGGTGACAAAAAAAAAAATTAACCTCAGAAACCAACTGGTTTTGCAGAAATCACTCACCTGGCCTGATGTGCTGTCAAGTGTATGCCAAACTGGTCCACTCGGTACCTCAGCCTCAACAGGAACAGTAACAGAACCAAGGATTGTGCTTTTCCATACAATGTCCCAGTCATATATCGTGACATTTATCTATGGAAGTGTAGAGAATGAAAACATGGGAACAAGGGAAATGCATCAAAACCTAGGCATACAGCTTTTTATGGGAACAGAATAATTGGCCGAAGGCACAAATGCATCAAGACAATGGAAAAACATCCAGGGTTTGCACTACATGAACTCATGAATTCGCAACAATTTTGTCAGGATTAGAAGCAAAATGGAAAGTTGCAAAACCCATGACAGATATATGACAATATTGTTGTAGATGTAGTGAGACAGTGCAGCTGCAATTCTTTTAACATAAGAATGGTACATTAGTGATTTGACTATGTAAACTATACAGAACTGTGATTACTTATTAGCCATATTTTCCTACACCAGTGATGGACAAACATAGCATCTTTTAAAAGATACCAAACTAACTAAGAGAGAGGACTGAGAATAACCTTTACAGGAAGACTATCAACAAAAAAATTGAATTCCTCTCCCCACATTGGGTTTCTTGAGCCAGGAACCATGGAGCTGTAAGGTGTTAAAAAAATAGATTAGACTAGTTGAGCATTAGCTGTGTGACATGTATCTATAATCTATATGTTTATCAAAGAGGTTAATATTATCTTATATTAAAGGATGGTTATTTGAAGTTGCTTCCCCTGTCCACCTTCCACCATTGCTTTTCCCACGGAACACTTTCAGGATAGCATGTGTATCCGTCATTTACACGTTACCCTACTGCAATCATCACCATTTCCATAACATTCAAACAATCCTGGGGCAGTTGCCTCTTGTTTCCTCTCCTTTACAGCCTATGCTTGGAACTGCTAGATCCAAAACCGTATTGTCCTATCTCTAATGATGAATCCTAAACAGCCAAATTGCCAGAGAATAAAATCTCTCTAACTACCCATGAGCTCATACAATAAGTTTCATTCATAAAAAGTTTTCCCTTGAACCTACCTTATTTAACATGTATGCACTATCAAGTACTACATCCATTCAAATTATAAGACGTTTTGTTTTTTCTAGATACATAGCTTTTGCTATGCACTTAGATATACACTGTGTCTAAACACATATTAAAATCAATGTATCAAGAAAAGCCAAATACATATTAAAATCAATGTATCAAGAAAAGCCAAAACGTCCTATAATTTGGAACGGAGGGAATTACAGAGGATCTGACTTCAGTGCAATAAAAAAGCCACACCAAGCAGTTAATAGTTTCGCCCAAAACACGACCAACTTGCTCTCTGGGTGTATGTCCCCTCAAAGGGAAGATAGAACATGGCGACTAAACAAATTACAGTGTCCAAGAATTCTCAGATTGATGAATAAGCTAGAAATGGAACTCCTTCAAAAACTATATAGTTAATAAAAACAACTGAGATCATCAAAATAACAGGTTCAAAGTATTGAATCAATATGATCACCTGAAACGCTTCTCTGCTCCACAAGTGATCAATGCATACGGGTCAGATGTCCCATTTAAGTTTGCAGCCATCAAATTTTTAGCAGCCAACAATTCGAGCTGAACAGACACATCCAATCCAAGTCATGAACCATCCAGAACAACTGCCAACAGCACGACACAAAAAAGAATGGAGGCCAAAAGCTGATCACTGGTCACCTTCACTACATACGCAGAGGGGCCGCTGGCACCCCCCTTGAACTGCCCCAAGCCAAGCGCATCCATCAAACGGGAGATCAAGGCATCAGCATCCGTGATCACCAGCACCAACGACCCAAATTCTCCGAAACCCAAACAGACGCAGCCGTTACCTTGTCGGCGCCGTCTAGCCCCCGCACGAGGAGCCCGTCGGCGTCGCCCGCCGCTGCCGCCTGCGAGGGGCGCGGGTTGAGGAGCTCGTACGCAGCGTAGAGCGCGACGAGGATCATCGCGGCCGCGCACGTGACCTCGATCTCCCAGCAGGTCGGGAGGAGGAACCCGAGCGCCGCCACTGCAGGGGCCGACCCCGCGGTCTGCGGCGCCATGCCGCCTGCGCCCGCGCCCACGAGGACGGTGCGTGCCGCGCCCTAGGGTTTCGGGAGCGGCATGGGCGCGCACGCGAGGGCCATGGGGGCGGGAGCGGGGGCGAGGGGCGACCGGGCGAGGAAGGAATGGTAGGAGGTCTGGAGGTGGTGGTTATGCAGGGGGGACGACGAGGCGGAGACGCGGAGAAGGTGGGAGCGGTCGGGTCGGGCTCGCGGGGTGGGTGGGCCACCCTGTAGAGGCCGGGTCCAGTCTCCGGTGGGGTCGGACGGCTGGGGGCCTGGGGCGGATCGTGATGCGATGCGGTTGTGCCGTCGGCGGAGGCCGGAGATAACGGACTTCGACGCTGGTCAGATGGGCCCACGACGCCGCTGCGCGGCTGCGCCGGTTGACCTGGGCAGTGGGGAGACCCCGAGCCGGCGGGCCGATGTTACTCTACAGCGACCGTTGACGGGCCTGTCAAAGTCGAAGCCGGTTCCTTTGGGTGAGCGCCTGCAGGTTCCCGGTAACTTCCATTCGGAACATTTTGTCTTTTTATTTTAAAAAATAAACGATTTTGGTTGTCTGAACTTTTATTTCATCGTGATAACATAATCACATGCATTTAGATTGTTAAAAAAAATCTAAATTTTGAATTTTCAAATATAATCTGCTCTTACCCCAAAGACTCCCGACCCGGCCCTTGCGTTGCTCTCGCGGTAGGGCGGGCGGCGCCACACAGCAGCAGCAGCCGGGCACTCATCCTCCCCAGCCCCTGCCGCCTTGCTGCTGCCGGAGCAAGCTGGCCCGTGCAGCCGCGAGGATGGCGGCGGCGGCGGGGCTACCCGTTGCCTCCGATTCAGGAGCTGCCATGGCGAGGCGATGACCGACAGCCGGTGGTGGCCTCCGTTGATTCACGTGCCCCTGTTGCTGGATCTGGTGACCTCATCGGTGGATCTGGTGGCGGAGGTGGTGAGCCGGCTCTGCGGCGGTGGCAGTGTTCGGGCGCAGCAATGGCCGCCTGGATCTAGTCGCTAGGGTTCCTCCGACGGTCGGCTTCGGCGTCAAGGTTGCTGGTGACCGGCAGGAGTGGAAGTAGGGTCCGGAGGGAGGTCCGGGCGCAGGTGACCTCCACCTCATGGTCAGGGGGCTAGTGCAGACGGCGACAGTTCAGTGTGAGGGCTGCTGGAGGCCTTGCACGGCGTGGTTGATGTTGGGACTGCTCGGCATGGGTTGGGTCCTTGGTGGGCTGGGCGACTGGGGCTTCTTCTGACCCCAGCCCTCTTCTCCCCGCCATCTGCCTTCCTCCGTGCTCGGGCTAGTTTCTATGGCAGAGTTGACGGGCTTCTCTAGGCGCTTCTCCTGGCCGGCGTTCCTAGGGGTGGCGGCCGAGCGGGGCTACGGCTGACCCCTCGCCGCATCTTGGCTTCTCGGTAGGGTTGGTTGTGCGTGCTGCGGGACACCCGCAGGACGCGTGGGGGCGTTCGGGGTTGGCAGGGACGCCCCGTGTATCTTCGGCGTTTTTCCTCAGGACAGGCTACCTTTGTGGGTCTCCCCGGTGGCGGTGGTGTGGAGATTGCATGAGGTCGGGCCGAAAGCTTGGACGACGACGTCTGCAGACGTCGTTCCCTTCTTATAGGAACCATTTTCTACCTCTCCTCCTTTCTGTGTTGGATTTTGCGGGTGAAAACATTCCCTCGTCGGGCTAGCTTGTCGACGCTCTTGGCATCGTTTCCTTCTTGAACGCTTTGCTAGGCTATCCAGTTTCTGTCGTGTTGTCTTGTCGTTTGCCATGGCGCTTCTCCATGGGTGTTGGTGCTTGGCGCTCCAAGTCGTTTTTGCTAGTTGCTTTCTTAGTTGCTCTAGTGCTTAACTAGTCGTCACTTAGTGGAGTTGATAGTTGGGTCGTTTTCGACTAAGTTGGCTCAAGGTTGAGCATGTAGTCGAGTTTCCACTTAAAAAACTAGGCCGACACTTGTATTTTTATCTTCTTTGTCTAATAGAAATCACGGCAAAGCTTTTGTCGTCCCTTCTATTTTTTTTAAAAAATATAAGAACTTTTTTAAAATGGTACTTTAAACAATTTCAGATAAAAAACTTGCCAACTACAAGTTCTAAATCTTATCGAGCCATATATTTTTTATGTAAAGTTCATCTTAATCTGACCTATGCAATTATGAATTTGTTTGAACAACTATTAAAGTTTGAGGTAGAATAATTCAATTTTAGTTAACTTCTCTATCTCCTACACTCTTGGGAACTACTCCCTCCTTCCAAATTGTTAGGCGCCTTGGATTTTTAAAATATATTATTGTCGGGTTCATAAACCCGGGGTCCCCAATGGACCCGCTTCTCTACAAAACTCGGCACAGCAGGTGACGCAATGACAGCACTCGACCGACCTCTGGGTCACGGGCTCCGCCTCGCCTGACCCCTTTCTCCGACCAAGGATACGCCGGACTTCTGCTCGCTGCTCTTTCCCGACCGACACGGTCGGGACCAACTGGGAGCAACCGACCGGGGACGCCCGCTCGGTGTGGGCCTGGGGAGCAGGCGTTGCAGATAAGGTAAGGCGCTCAAGTCAACCGCAATACCGAGGACCGTACCCTGCCATGCCCTGTGCACCTGTAGGACGGTGCCGACGGGGCATGACAGGCGAACACGGTAGAGCCTGCCAGACGCGTCAAAGCATAAACAGTGTTGTGGGCGCCGTCATTTGTCGTACCAGGCAAACACGATAGAGCCTGCTAGACGCGTCTAGGCATAAATAGTATTGTGGGCGCTGGCAGCCGTCCAGTACCCAATGGTGTGAGCAACAAGACTGGGCAGCACACATATACACACACACACTCTCTCTCTCTCTTTCTCTTTGACTTGTAAGGCCATCCCTTTCAACTATAAAATGGGATGCGCTCTTTCCCAACAAGGGCACGCTAGATGACTTGAGGACTCGACGATCAGAGGACTCGAACAGCTCAATAGCTCTAGAACTCGATAGCTACACAGAGCATACGCTTCAATACTTAGCGCACGTTAGAGCACCCGTCACTCTTGGCCACTCGGTCTAGAGTCCGACCGGGCCTCTAACACCCCTTCTCATTCCTACTCGTTTGTAACCCCACAACAAACTTCGAGCACCTAGGCTCAGGAATAAAGTCATCGACCGACCTCAACTGGACGTAGGGCTCGTTGTTTGAACCAGTATAAATCCTGTGTCATTGAGTGCTAGGCCACATCTGATCACGACGCACGACAAAACTACAAATATTTACTTGTCAGCCAAATTTCGTACCGACAGTTGGCGCCGTCCGTGGGGAGGACGCCGTGCGTTCACACTTTTGGTTATCGGATGGCCCATCTTTCCACCATCTTCGGCATGGCGGGCTCGAGCGATACGATTCGCTTCGGCTCGCTAGAGTTTCCCACGCTCCCCACCTGTTGGGATGTGGGTCCCTCCCATCTTTGAGATGCTCCAGACTTTCCTCTTCGGAAGCCTGGACTTTGTCGCTGACCAGCTCAGCGTACTCCGCCTCCGCGAGGAGGCGCTCGTCCCGACGTCCACTGGAGGAGGAGCGCCCTCCACCGGCCCTAGGCCACTCGATGACCTCAACGTCGAGACACTCGCGCTTCGCCTCGAGCCTATGCTGGGTTCAAACCCCACAGTGAGTGATGTACATATTATTCTTTACTCACCATTTAACACCTTCTGCCGACTCTCTGGAGGGACCCCATTGTCCCCACCGCAACCACCGTGCAACCGGTTCCCCTATGGCTTCGTGTCCCCCATGGACGTGTGTGCGCGGGGGCTCCGAAGGATGCTGACGCTCCCGCCTCCTTTCACGTCCTCGTCGATGACGAGATCGAAAACGATGGCTCTAGCATTGGCGATGTCGTGGCACCTGGCCACCCTCTGTCCTAGGAGTATGCTATGGTGGACGCCGTGGGACAGCCACCGGTGGTAGTGGAGTCTCTGTAGATTCACACCCCTTCGGACCTCGTGCGAAGGCCCTAGCGCGTGCGCAGGAGCACGCCGAGGAGTTACGACAAAGGCGGTAGAGCCAGTTGCCACCTGCACTGGCATGCTCGGCGCAACACGCTGCGCCACATGCGCGTAACCCGGTGAGTAGAGCTCAGGGTCATGCCCGTTAGGTCTAGCGTAACATCCTGGATGGAGGGAATGACCCCCCTCAGTTTGCTCGGGCTGGCCAGAACATCGCTAATGCGGCGATGCTTCTGCGTGGCCTCCCCGAGCCTGCCGACCCCTAGGAGCAGGCAATCCACCAGAACCTCAGGGCACTGGTGGAGATCATCGTCGTTCAGCAGGCGGAGAGCTCCACGTCGCGACATCGGCTCACGGCCTCTTGCCCAACTGGGAGACTCGGGCCGCACCAGTCGAATGGCTCCGTCTACTCACCACTGCGGTTGCTGGGTGTGGGGCAGGAAGCCACGGCTGCACCGTAGCCTGACCCGGTGCCCGATCCACACCGACCACCTGTGCGTGAATGGCTCGAGCAGAGCCGTGATGCTCGCAGCGTCATCAACAATCGATGCCACGCCCGACACGATGATGACGCCCATCGAGTGGCGGCGAGAGCAGGCGGCGTGGGCCCCGGACTGACCATCGAGGAGTGCGGGGACACGCACCCTAGGCATGGTGGTCGACTAAACTATCGGAGCCCCAGCCCCGATGGCCCCGGGCCATGGGCCTTTGGTCGTCGCATCCAGAAAGCGTCATTCCCACAGCGCTTCCGACCGCCCACCAACATTGCCAGGTACACCGAGGAGACGAACCCCGGTATATGGCTCGAAGACTTTTGGCTCGCTTGCCGAGCCGGAGGAGTGGATGATGACTACTTCATCATCCAGTACCTCCCCATCTACGTGGGGGAGCATGTTCGAGCATGGCTCGAATTCCTTCCACCCGACAGCATCCACAACTGGGCGGATCTCAAGAGAGTCTTCGTCGGGAATTTCCAAGGGACATATGTCCATCTTGGGAATTCCTAGAACTTCAAGAGCTGCC